AAAACAAAAGCCAAAAGGTCTAGGGAGTGATTCAGTAAGTTGGAGCATCCGCCTGCCTAACATAAGTGAGGCCTTGAGTTTTCATTCCAATACTGGCAAAAAGTCTTTGGACACAAAATATTGAAGAGTGTTTCCTTCATGTATTATCTAAATTGTTACAAAGTTATCTGCATCTTATTGTGTGGGTGTACATACATATATGTGTATGTATATACCACATATATATGTATACAAAAGTACATATATGTATATATGCAGTATATGATTATATATACATATATATATATATCACATTTTCTTTTTTTTGGGGGGGGGTCCGATCATGGGGCCTGAATTCTGGGCCTAGGCTCTGTCCCTCAGCTCTTCAGCTCAAGGCTAGCGCTCTACCACTTGAGCCACAGCGCCACTTTCCGGCTTTTTTCTTTTTGCTTATATGGTGCTGGGGAATTGAACCCAGGGCCTCATGCATGCAAGGCAAGCGCTCTACCACTGAGCCACCTTCCCAGCCCCTATCACATTTTCTTGATCCATTCATTCATTGTAAGGTGTGTAGGCTATTTTCATAATTTGGCTATGATGAATAGAGCAGCAAGTGTTCTTTTTTTAAAAATCATGTTCTGACATGTAATCTTTTGGATAAATGCCCAAGAATGGTCTCATTGGACTGTAGGATAGTTCTATGGTTAGTTGTTTTGAGGAATCTCCAAACTGCCTTCCACAATGGTGGAACTAATTTACATTCCTCCCCAAATTATAATAGTATACTCTTTTTGTTATGTTCTTGCTAGCATTTGATGATGACTATTCTTACTGGGTGAGGTAGAATCTCAGTGTTGTTTTGACTTGCATTTTGTTTATGGCCAGAAGTATATGAAAATGGGACCATGCAACTTGAAGGGATGTGCTGGGTTGGAAGAGATGGGAAGAATGATGGGAAGGGTGACATTGATCAAGATACTTTGTATTTATAAACTGATATGGTGAAATGAAACCCCTTTGTACAACTGCTGAAAGAGAACAATTTTATTTTGTGTGCTGGTCCTGGGCCTTGAACTCAGGGCCTGGGCACCGTGCTTGAGCTTTTTTACTCAAGGCTCTACCACTTGAGCTGTGGTTCCACTTCCAGCTTTTTTGGTGCTTAATTGTCTCATACTTTCCTGCCTATGTAGCTTCAAAATGTGATTCTTAGATCTCAGTCTCCTGAGTAGCTAAGATTACAGGTATGAACCATCTGCATTAGCATAAATATATTTTAATGGGAAAAAAGATAAAGAAGAAATCCCTATCTCAAGGCTAGGAAGTAGTGTAGCACAACCCTATCTCAAGGCTAGGGGAGTAGTGTAGCAAATCTTACCCACCCTGTATCCAACTGCCGATACAAATATTGCAACTGGTGGCTCATGGCTGTAGTTCTAGCTACTCAGGAGACTGAGATTTGAGAATCTTAGATTGAAGCCAGTGGGAGCAGAAAAGTTTATTTGACTCCTTTTCTGCAATTAACCAGGAAAAAAATGAAAGCTGGAAGTAGAGCTGTGGCTCACGGGTAGAGTGCCAGACTTCAGTGAAAAAGCTAAGGATCAGCATCCTGAGTTCAAGCCCCAGTTCTAGCACAAAAATAAATAAATGAAAAATTTTAAAAAGTTATAGCTTTGACCGGAGTGATTGCTCAAAAAATGAATGGCACTGACTTGAGGCCCATTATATCTATTATCTCTACAAAGTGATCAGTTCGGTAATGGCCCCTCTCCTTCCTTTAATGCATTGAACAATTAGCTCTTAATCTTGGCCTTGGAAGGTTCTCTGGAAAAGCGTTCTTTGCTGCATCACTGAGTGACTTTTTTCCTTGATGGATTGGAACTGGCACACATACATTAGTAGAAAGAGAAATCAAACAATATCATCTAAACTGACGTATTTCCTTGTCTTTATTTTCCATAAAACACATCCGTCCCTTTCCTGCAAGAAGGGACTCAAGTATCATGAGCCTTATGCCCCAGGTGATAAACCTCTTCAAGTCTCTGCTTGCTCTGAAAGATTCCACAATATAAATAACTTTTTTTTTGGTGAACAGTCCCATCTGTTTTCCATTCAGAGTTGATTTCCACTGTTGGGGTGGGGGATGCACACCGCCCGTGGAGCTCTGCAAAGCAGCCTTCTGTGCCCTTCTATCCTGGACAGTGAGTCTAGTGAGTGTTTCTTTCAAGATCAAAGACAGACTTGAGCCCAATCAAGTGAACTTGAGCTGTGGGGAGTGTCGTGTTTGGTGACAGTGAGGATGTGAAGGATGTCTTCCTGCTTGCCAGCACCTCCGGAGAGGGGGGAGAGCAAGGCTGGCCCTGTGCTGGATGGGCTTTCTTAGCTGGAGCCTCCCACCCGCAGCCCCATCGCCAGTATATTCCTTCAGGAAATGAGAAAAACAGCCCCCGGAGGAGAGCTACAGATGAGGCCTATCTATTCAGCCTGACTTTGGGGAGACAAAATTGTTGGAATAGAAGCCGACCTCAGCACTGTCTCCCTCAGCATCCTGGAGTCCCTCTTTATGGGAAGTGGGGGTACTGGTGCGTGTATGTGGGTACCTTTTCCAGGGGAGTACTTGTGCCTCTGTGTGACTTGCAAGTGGAAATTCCCATTTTTTTCAGTGCATAATCTATGTAGGGACTTTGAGTGTACTTTATAGTAACAGATCTTGTCAAAGGATCATCACTACACTGCCAAGCCTGAGGTCAGCATGGGTGTAAGGACCTAATGAGGTTCAGCATGAAAGGAGGAGGTCCCCCTGAGAGTTCAGAGTTCTGCGTGGATGGGGCTAGCTCCTCAGTGGCTTGCAGGTGTTGGCATAGCTGGCTCATTGCGGATACCAGAAATTGGCTATCCCATTCCTCCTCTGAATTGTGCTTTGGGAAGGATGGGGCCACACACACACTTCATGCTCAGATTCTGCCCTTGGATTTACCCTCCCTCTTCCTGTTCCCAACCTTCCCCTCCCCCCCACACTGTTTGCACCTCTGGATCTTGGCACATAGCATCACTTCATCTTTCAATGCCCTCTGCTCTGTCCCACAGTGTCTCTGTATTGTGTCCTGTGAGTATCTTCGTACCCAAAGAGCACTTTCTGTGTTTTCACATGTCTTTCTGCACTTGGACAGCTAAGTTCTGGAGGCATATCCCTGTTCCTGAAGACCTGGATATTTGGATCCCCTTCTTCTGAGGAGGCACTGTAGCAGTAAAGATGCTTTAGCCCAGTGGCTTTCCTAGTGTCTTCTCCAGTGCTCCGAATTCAAAAGGGGACTGGGGGCTGTAGCAGAGGGCAAACATGACTGAGAGGGACTGAGGTGATGCAGTACTCAAAATGAGAAACTTCTGGGCACTATATTGAGTCAGTACTGGATGGTGAGGTTTCACCTGAGATTTCCCTTGGAACCATTTTGTTCTTTGCAGAAATCTGTTTTAGTCAGCTAGGCAGCCACAACAAAAAAACCCAAAGATCTACTATTCCCAGTTCTGGAGGCTTCAAGCTCAAGGTTTGGGCAGATTTATTTCCTTTTGGGGACTCTCCTGGTTTTTGAAGATTGTTGCTTTCTTAATGTATCCTCATGTAGTAGAGGGATTCCTGTCTTTCTTCCTTTTCCATGAAGCCTCCAGCTCTCTGGGGATTAAAACTCCATCTCATTGTCTCACTTAACCTATATTATTACCTCTGCGTAGTTCTGCTTTCAGGACTGGACTTAACATATTGGTAGAGGGTGGACAATTTTAGACATTAGCTAACCTAAAATCTACTATACAACATCTTTATGTGTTTTTTGTCTCTCTCCCTCCCTATCCCCTAGTACTGGGAGTCAGATCCAGGGCTTCACAGATGCTAGGCATTCCTCTACTACTGAGCTACAGCCCAGAGCATATGGCTCTTAATTTTTTTGTTCATGGGCTTGAACTTAGGGCCTGGGTACTATCCCTGAGCTCTTTGGCTACTCAAGAGGCTCTTAACTTTTAAGATGCAACCACTAGACTTAAATTCTCAAGGTCATCCAGGTGGAGAACGGAAGGCCCCAACTGGGCCCCATCTTCACACTATACTGGTGGGCTGTCATAATCCTTCCTTCCAAGTGGTATTCTCGGAGGGCAGTGTTCCATTTCTGATAGCTGCCTATACCTCAGGCCGCTCCCCCGCACCGGGATTCCCCTCCACCGCCCTGAGCATAACAGTCTTTGTGATTTCTTCTTCTACTCAGTGCTTCTCAGGGGATTGTGATTATGGTTACTTTGGAGTATGCATGGGTCAGAATTTATGATAATGGTCCCTTAAGGTTGGTACACTATTATGTACAAATTAAACCCTAGTAGAGTTGATTTAAACCTATAATGAGCCAGATGATATGAGAATGGGGGCTCTGTGCACAAAGCATACCTTTTGGGGAGCCCCTGGACTGCCTAGCTTGGTTTCTGTGTTAGTCTAGTTCTAAGGAAGCATTTCATAGTGATGGTTTGCTGGGTCAAGTATCTCACCAATCAGTTCAGAGAGGAATCTGGGATTTAGGAGAAGGTATAGGCTTGTACACTGGCTGCTTACAGCAGCTTTAAATGATGCACACTGAGAAAGGCGCTCCGCTCCCCTCCCCCTCAATGACCTTTGCTATCCCAGCCTGGTGGGGGTGGGAGCAATGCTGGAAGGAGTTCCACCTGGGTTCTTGTGTCAGTGGGTGAAGGATACTTCTTGAGACAACATCTGTAGTCTGCCTTTAGCATCTTAAGGTGGGGAGGATACCTTCCAGGCCTGGAGGAAGAGCAAAGTCTTAAGATACTGTCCTGAGCAGATGGCTCAAAGGTCCCTATTTTTGCTTCTATTTGTTATTTTGGACTGTGTTGTGAGTACTTTTTGCTTATGTAGCAGTTTTTTTTTTTTTTTAACATGCCAGTACTGGGGTTTGAACTTGGATCTGGATATTGTCCTTAAGACTTTTGCTCAAAACTAGTGTGCTTCCACTTGAGGCACAGCTCTCCTTCTGGCTTTTTGTTGGTTAACGGGCTGGTTTCGAATCTTTATCCTCAGATCTCAGCTCTTGCCAATGGTGCCCAGCTATATTAGCAAAATTTTGCAGACCATGGAATGGTTGCTTTAAATAAGGACACATGGGCATCCTTCCCCTTCCCCTTCCCCTTCCCCCATTCCTTTCCTCTTCCCCCTTTCATCTTTCTCCTTCTCCCCCTTTCATCTTTCTCCTTCTCCCTTCCATTTTTCTCCTTCCCCCTTCCATCTTTCTCCTTCCCTTTCCCCTTCTCCCTCCCTGTGCTACAGGAACATTCAAAGACCCAGGGCAGGCCTCCTCTATTTTGTATATACTGAAGATGGTGTAAAATAATTAGAAAACACTTCCCTAATGCTCAATGAATTCACCTGAGTTCTTCTAGGTTTCTTTCCAATCTTCTCAACTGCATAGGTTCTGGTAGCAGAAATCAATATGGCCCAGGGAGTGGATAGAAATGAGGCAGTAGGGCCTGGGGTTTTCCATGGCAGCTGAGATGGTCCTGTCTACCTTAAAAATGCATCTTGTTATGGACTGAGTTATGTTCCTTCCAAACGTGTGTTTTTTCTAGATGTGGAGAGATCCTGATATTCTGCAGATAGTTTGACCATTTCAAGCACAGCAGCTTATATGACAGCATTTGGCAGGAAGCAGGCGATGTCTTTGGGGCTGGCAGCTTCTCTGGGGCAAGGAACAAGCTCTGGTCTGTGGAGGGGGCAGGCTCTCACAGCCCACCTCAGTGCTGCCTGGAGGAGCCCCTGGGAGCCAGCAAACAGAGTTTCTTTGTACTCCCAGCTTCCAGGACAAACGAACTAAAGCTAGTAGCCAGCAGTCTTGCCACCAGGCAATGGTTTAAATCAAAATAATCACTTTAAGAAACGGTAGGGAACCTAACTGGAGAACCATTTCCTTTGGCCTGAAACACTAAAACATACTCTGATTTATGCTGTTGGCTTGGCAGCTTGCTGAAACGTGTGGAGCTGTTACAGCCGCCTGCTCCAGGAATGAAAAAGGGCTTAAGAGGGGGAGTTTCTGGAAGGCCTTCAGTGCCAGAGAGTGGCTGTTGAAAGGCCTGGTCTGCAGGGAAGTGGCGATCAGAGGGGAGATGTGCAGACAGCCCGACCTGGCGGCCTGGCCTAGAAGCAGCTGGATATATCACTGGGTTGGTTGGCTTGGAATTGAGATTTTAAAAAAACAGAACTGAAAAGTACCTCTAACTGACAAAGTCTATTTGGATACATTTTGGAAGATTGACCTTTTTAATGAGAAAGAAATCTAGGGCTGGGCACTCAGGGGTAGTAGCCAGTTTGGGGCCTGCAAATTATGTTTCTGGTGCCTACTTTCTGCCAGCAACTTGCTCCACAGGCTACTCAGTTGTTGTCTTTGTGTGTATGTGTGTGCACGTATGCTGGTACTAGGGCTTGAACTCAGGGCCTCATACGCTCAGTTGACTATTTTACTCAAGGCTGGTTGCTCTGCCATTTCAGCCATATCTTCACTTATGGCTTTTTTGTGGTTAATTGGACTTTCCTGCCTTGGCTAGCTTCAAACCCCAGTCCTCAGATCTCAGCCTCCTTAGTAGCTAGGATTATGGGTTTGAGCCACTAGTGCTGGCTTAAGACATCATTTCCAGTGTGAGCAAGCTGGTGGGAAGTAATGGGGGGGGGGGGGGTCACAGCTTTTTAGCGGATATCTATTTTCTCCCAATGAAATAAGATTGAGATCAGTAATCACTGGTCCCACCCTTGCCCAGCCTCTAATCTAGACACAGAGATATATTAGGAGGAGCAGAAAAGCATTTCTCAGGAAGTAAGTACAGAAAAAGTCAACTATTTTGACACATTTTCAAGCTGGTACACCTGGCCTGTTCCAGAAGGGGGCATTGATACTTGTCCAATCCTCATTAACCTTGGCCTTTGTGAACTGGACCTGTGTGAACTTGGAAACTACTGCTTAGGAGTTGTGCAAGGTTCCTGGATACCCTCTAGGTGCTGTGTCAACCATGAGGTTTTCCTTTGCAGGCTTGCATAGCCTTCTGGGGTATCTGTGTACCATGGTTGTTCCATTCATTCCCCTCTGCTTTGCATGCATTTCCATTTCCTATGATGAGTTCTTTTAAAGTTCACATCCATGGGCTGGGAAGGTGGCTCAGTGGTAGAGTGCTTACCTTGCAGGCTTGAGGCCCTGGGTTCGATTCCTCAGCACCACATAAGCAGAAAAAGCTGGAAGTGGCGCTGTGGCTCAAGTGGTAGAGCACTAGCCTTGAGCTGAAGAGCTGAGGCCCAGGCCCAGAGTTCAGACCCCATGGCCAACAAATAAATAAATAAATAAATTCAGATCCTCCCAGCACATGAATGTGGGCATAAATAGAAATGTCAAACCCACCCCCTGCTAATCTGAGAGGCATCATGAATAGGGGCATTCAGGTACCTATCATTGGGGGTGTCCCATGCTTTCTCTCAGGGAGTTGCCTACTGTAGAGAGAATGAGGTGACATTTTTGGCTTTTCTGTCTGGATGGTGCACCCAAGACTTATGTCTGAAAGAGGCTTTAGATGGCAGAAATCCTGCCATGTCTCCCTGGCTTCCCTCCAGCTGCTGAGGTCTTGTCTCTTTGGTTACCGTGGAACATTGTTCATTCCATTACCATGGGCCATGGTTCAAATCCTTACCCAGCTGAATTAAGATAACGAGTGCTTAATTTAATACTAGCTACTTAGAAGGCTGAGGTCTGAGGATTGTGGTTCAAAGCCAGACTAGGAAGTCCATGAGAGTCTTATCTCCAATTAATCAGCAAAAAACCAGAAGTGGAGCTGTGGCTCAATTGGTAGAGCATCAACCTTGAACAAAAAGCCAAAGGAGAGAATGAGGCCCTCAGTTTAAGCTCCAATACCAGAATAGCAACCACAACAAAAAGATAATTAGTGCTTTGGATTGACAGACTGGAAAGCTGTCCATTTGGGGGTTTCAAAGAAGTTGTAGGTAGTTAGAGGTGGGACTTGATCTCTGTTCTGCCCCTGACATGCCAGTGGGTAGAGTAGGCCAGCCCAGGTGGAGTCAGATCTGCCTCTCTCTGGCCTGAGAAGCTGGTGTACAATGTGAGGTGTCACTACACTAGGGGCTACTGTGCAGTGACTATGTCTGGGCTGCTGGCTTGCTTTAGTTTTCTCAACTGTTTACAGTGTAGTAATGCTGTCATTTGGGGGATTAAAGGAGATAATATACATGCAGAGACTGGCATGTATGCACTAGCTTTTTTATTAAGTACACTCATTGTAATCTAATTTACAGCAGTATTAAAAATAGATAATCATGTACTTGGGGGACCAAGAATTATGTTTATGACTGGACATGGAGGCTCATACCTGTAATCCCAGTTATTTGAGAGGCAGAACTTGGGGGATAATTTTGTGATTTGTGGTCAGCTTAGGCATCCAGTCAGTGAGATTCCCATCTTATTAAAGATGAGCCTGTTGATTTATATCTGTGATCTCAGCTCTGTGGGAGGTACAGGCAGGAGGATCAAGGTCTGAGGCTGGCCTGGGGCATAACCTTGAGATTCTAAAGGAAAAAAGTAGTCTGGATATGTGGCTAAAGCCATAAAGTGCCTGCTCAGTAGGAAGTTCAAATACCTGAGTTCAAACAAAAAAATTGGGAGAGGGAGGGTGGAAGACTCTGTGTGTGTGTGTGTGTGTGTGTGTTGTGTGTGTGTGTTGTGTGTGTGTGTGTGTGTGTGTGTGTGAGAGAGAGAGAGAGAGAGAGAGACAGAGAGAGAGAGACAGAGACAGAGACAGAGAAATGAGAATATGAATATGTTTTGGTAATTCCTACTACTGCTGTTCTCCCTGTCTGCAGGTTTTTTTTTTTTTGTGTGTGTGTGTGTGGTTTCAGTTGTTCTAGTCAACCACAGTCTAAAAATATTAAATGGAAAATTACAAGGGTAAATAATTTATAAGTGTTAAGTAACTGTTTTTACACAGTCTTGTTCTAATTGTTCTATTACTGGTTACTATTTATCTATCTGTTTATCTATTTACTATTTATCTGTTCTATTTTATTACTAATTACTATTTATCTCATACTATACCTAATATAAATGAAATCTGATCCTATGTATTTGTGTACAGGAAGACATAGTCCACATGGAGTCCAGTAACTATCTGCTGGTTCGGGCATTTCAGGGGCCTTGGAAGGTATCCCTTATGGATAAAAAGAGACCACTGTGTCCATGGCTTTTGAAAAGCCTTGCTCTTGCTACTTCTTGTCTTTATCTTTTCTCTATCTTTCTTCTTTTATGCATACAGACATTGCAGCCAGAGGCCTCTGTAGCAGCAACTTGGCTCTGAGTCCCAGAGCAGGTGGCAGGGCCAGAGGGGCGGTCCATCAGAGGTCTACGTCCTCCCTGACCCTCACTGTCTGGGAAAGGTCTCTGTTTTGGAAGATGTTTGGAAGGTTTTCCCTTTGGAAAATGTAAACTCAGATGCTTCTCAGGGTGGCTATTAGGGCCACACACAGAATGTGCAGGAAATGCACAAGCATGTGAAGCACCATAAACAGAAGAGGAAATCCTGTGGGGATAAAGGAGCCCATGAGGCTGATGTCCAAAAGAGTGGGCTGACCACTATCTGAGAGCATTCAGAACAGTGCAGGAGTGCCCAGGGACCATGGTCAGGATTGCATTTATGAGCCTCATGAGTGCCAGAGGAGAGGGAGACTGTCTAGGAGCCCTTGACAATGTCTCTGAGCACTAGCCCTTCATGGAAATAGACATTTGCAGGCTTATCCATAACCTGGCATTTTGTAACTCACCTGCTATTTAGATTTTATTGTCATCACTTTGAGTAAAGCACTAAAGAGTGGGATTCATTTTACAATAATATATTTTTGAAAGCTTTTTAAAAAAAATAAAACAATGCTTTTTAAAATTGAATTTTTGCAGTGCTAGGGATCAAACCCAGGGCCTTGTACCTATTAGGCAAGGCCTCTGCCACTGAAGCACTTTCCCCATCCCACCCCAATTAATCTCTGGACTAGCTTCAGGCCTGTGCCAGTCTGTGGCTAGGACCTCAGCTTTGTCAGTTAGTCTGTCATGTGGGAATTTGGCTGAAGTGACATTTGGAGGCCTACACATTTTATTAACATTTGCTTCATGGAAGAGCTTTTAAAGTGTGGATGTGGCCCTGAAGAAATATGTAGTTTATTTTTATTTTTTTTTAAAAGGATCACTGTAAGTTTTAAAAAGTTTTTGTTTGCGCTCCAGGAAATCTTTCTCTTGACCTAGAAAGGAGGGACTAAATATGTTAACTAAGCCATAAAATCCCAGGTCATTTGTGCAGACTCGTCTGCATTCTGTTGTGTCTTATAGACAGGTTAGAGGGAGCATCTGTGAGCTGGAAACCTTCAGCAAATTGGCAAATGGTTGGAGATGGGTGATCAGACCCAGGGGATAATGCCTGCTTAGGCTTTGTTCTGTCTGTGGATGAACATTATTTGCTATGTTGTATTTAAGGAGCTGTTCCAGCTTATCAATACTGCATGAAATACAATAAAATGGAGAATCTATTGACTCTTAAGCTGAGCATATCAGCTTGGGTTCAGGAGCACCAGGCTTCTGAGCACTTACCTAGATGAGTGGATAGAGGTATAGTAGAAGCATCCTAGTCATTAACCTCTTTAATAATTTTGATTATTATCATGTTTACCTTTCTTACTCCCTGTTTGTAGCAAATGCTAACTGTTAGGAGTATAAAGGAGCTGGGTGCCAGTGGCTCATGCCTGTAATCTAGCTACTCAGGAGGTTAAGAAACGAGGATCTGGGTTCAAAGCCAGCTCAAGCAAGAAAGTCTGTAAGATTCTTATCTTCAATTAACCACTAAAAAGCCAGAAGTGGAGAGCACCAGTCTTGAGTGGAAAAAGCTAAGAGAGACAGTATCTAGGCCTTGAGTTCATGCCCCAATAATGGCACAAAATAACAAGAAGAATATAGGGCAATTGGGGCTGGGAAGGTGGCTCAGTGGTAGAGTGCTTGCCTTGCATGCATAAAGCCCTGGGTTCAATTCCTTAGCACCACATAAGCAGAAAAAGCCGGAAGTGGTGCTGTGGCTCAAGTGATAGAGCGCTAGCCTTGAGCTGAAGAGCTGAGGGACAGCACCCAGGCCCAGTGTTCAGGCCCACAGCTGACTCCCCCCCCACCCCCACCCCCCCACCCCCACACAAAAAAGAATATAGGGCAATGACTGTGACGTCTATGGAATAGGCTGACTGCTTGTTGGGCCCATCCCAGCCCCAAGTAGGTTCCCCTTTGCGACCCAGCCTTTTGTGTAGGCCAGGTCTGAAAAATAGGGGCAGGTTGTTATAAAAACTGGAGGGAAATTGTCACCCATGAAGATTTTTTTTTCCCATGAGAAAGTGACTCCCAGAGGCAGTTTAGGTGGTGGATGGGTGTAGGGTATGCAGAAGTGTGTTTTTGTTCTGGGCCTGCTGTGTGGAATCCATGGGCTTTCAGTGAGCTGTGGAGCTCTGGCTCCCCTCATTCATAAAAGGACAAAACTAGAAAAACGAGGAAGAATGTGATCATGTTACCCTGGGCTGTTGGGTCATTTTAATGAGGTTACACAAGTGCAGCCAGTGGGTTTTACAGTAGACATATCTTTTCTAATTTCTATATGCTACCATGAAAGTACCATTATTTATTACCCATGCCTGCCACCTCACCTTCAGGATGGCTGGACCCATTCAGGAATGTTCATGAAAATCCTGGGCACTTTGGTGGGCAGTGGGTGTCTTAAATGTTGAGGACAGGCTGGCACATCTTGGCAGGTGCCATGGGGCCTCTCAGCCATCATGATGTGGGTGTGGCCAAATCACCAAAGCCATTTGAAAGAAACACAATTATGAATAAAGGAGAGTACACTTTTAGTATTGTGTCCAAAAGAGAAAGAGAAATTGCATTAAATAGATCATAATGTCCAGGTAGTCTGTGGCGTCCTCTGAGAAAACTGGTCCTGGCTTTTGCAGTGGTCCACACAAGCCACCTTTCACAGGATAAACACACTTAACTAACATGCTCACAGACATCAACACACATTAACCAAAACACATCCACAACACACACTACACACTCACACTACCTTTATACACTACATACCCAGACATTCTCTGCATACATACCACACAGGACACATGCATGTACAATATACTCATCACATATACACATTCACACCACATACCATACACACCACACACACACGGTGCATGTATACAAACCATCACATACCCAGTATACTGATCATATACACTACACACATTATACACATTGCACCAGACTGATACTCTCCCACACCCACACTACACATTGATCTGGTACCATCGGATACCAGGAATCTGTTGTGAATACCATAGGAAATGATGAGGATGTGTGTGGTGGTCCTACGGCTTGAACTCAGGACCTGAATGCTGTCCCTTAGCTTTTTTGCTCAAGGCCAGCACTCTAACACTTGAGCCACAGCTCCATTTTCAATTTTTTGGGGGAGTTTGTTGGAGAGAAGAGACACAGATTTTCCTATACAGGCTGGCCTCAAACTGTAGTCCTCAAATCTCAGCCTCCTGAGTAGCTAGGAGTACAAGCATCAGTACTCTGGTTTAGAAGAGGAGAGTGTTTTGATAAGGAAAATAAATTCAACATTACTCACCCCATCTCCCATGCCTGCCATCTTGTCTTCCTAGGACAACTACACATACCCAGGAATTTAAGAACTACCAATAGACAGCCACCAATGGCTCATTTCTATAATTATACCTACTGGGAGATAGATCTGGATGATTGTGATTTGAGGCCAGCCCAAGTGAAAAGGTTCAGTAGATCTCCATCTCAGCCAATTATCCCAGCCTGTTATCCCAGTTTTAGGCCAGTCCAGGCAGAAAAAGCTCCCTAGACAAAACTAAATATGGTGGCATGCACCTCTCTTTCTGGCTACAGCATGAAGCGTAAATAGGAGAATCATGATCCAGGCTTCCCTTGAAGAAAACTGAGATTCCCATCTCAAAAACAACAAAACAAAAAAGAGGTGAAAGCATGGGTCAGGAAGCAGTAGAGCATCTGTCTAGCAAACCCGGCCCTCGAAGTTCTAACCCTAGCACCACCCAAAAATAAAACACAAAACAGAAGATCACTACAACTGTAACCCTGTCCTGCAGAGCGGTGAGTCTCCTGTCCTTATGAGGGATTTAATTGCTAAGGCTTCTTATTCCACATCCAAATGACCACCATGAAACAGGTCAGCAGCAGAGGGCCCTGCACCTTGTGCGGTGTGTGCACCCTGTACTTTATTGTAATGTCACTTTTGCCTCTTTGCCCAGGTTTTAGTTATTAGGGTTTGCTGTCCACTCACAAAATGAAGTTTGTCCAGTTTCCTTTTAGAGTTTATAAAGCAACCTTCACTGAAGTTTCTGCTGAAGCATTCATCTGCTGTATACTGAGAAATGCTTCTCTTGTTCTTTGTTTTTAAGACTAATTCTGGCAGCCCTGGCTTTTATGAATGCTGGGTTTCACAGAATTCCTAACGTCTGTGAGGGCTAAATGCTTAGACACACATTGCCTGCTTTGCTTGTTTTAAAGGGACTGACAGGAGAGACAGCATTTTTAGGCTGTAGTGGAGTCTGCTGGCTATGCTTTGGGGTCCGTGTCACCAGGAGTGTGGTCCTTCCCTTCTGGAAAGAACTGAAGCCTGCTGGTGCATAGGGGTGTTTGTGTGGCAGGTGGAAGTTTGGTTCTGTCCTGCCCTGTTTTGAGGCACAAAAGAGGGCTACAGCTGTGGCTTACGGACAAGGCTTGTCCAGCATGCCTGAGGCTCTGGGCTCCACCTCCAGCATCATAAAATAAATGAATGAGAAGCAGAGTCCTGAGGGGCAAGGCTCTTTGTTTTGATCTTAGTGTTTCTGTGTCTCTCTTGTGCTTGTCTAAGAGTCACGGAGATTTTGCAGATGGGCTGGGAGCAGAGGACTGCTGTAGCTCACTTCTCCACATCCGGGACAAAGATGGCCTTGTAGGACTGCAGCCTAAGGGTTGCAGGTCAGAGCTGGTGCTGGTCTTGGCCTGGCCTCTCAGCCTTTAGGATAACCCAGTCTCAAACAAACCTGGTGGTTTGGATGTCTTGCTGTGTCTTGCTGGGTTTTGTTTTGTGTCCGTTCTGGAGTTCGAACTCAGGGCCAAGGGGCTATCCCTTAGTTTTTTCTGCTTGAAATTGGTATTCTACCACTTGAGCACCTACCTCCACTTTTGGCTTTCTTATTTTCCTTCTTTCTTTCCTTCCTTCCTTTTCTTTCTTTCTTTCTTTCTTTCTTTCTTTCTTTCTTTCTTTCTTTCTTTCTTTCTTTCTTTCTTTCTTTCTTTCTTTCTTTCTTTCTTTCTTTCTTTCTTTCTTTCTTTCTTTCTTTCTTTCTTTCCTTCCTCCCTCCCTCCCTCCCTCCCTCCCTCCCTCCCTCCCTTCCCTTCCTTCCTTCCTTCCTTCCTTCCTTCCTTCCTCCCTCCCTCCCTCCCTCCCTCCCTCCCTCCCTCCCTCCCTCCCTCCCTCCCTCTCTCCCTCCCTCCTTCCCTCCCTCCCTCCACCACCACCTCTTCCTCTTCCCCTTCCTCTTCCTCTTCCCCTTCCTCTTCCTCTTCCCCTTCCTCTTCCTCCTCCTCCTCCTCCTCCTATGGTTAATCAAAGATAAGAATCTCACAGACTTTAATACCTGGGCTGGCTTTGGACCATGATCCTCAAATTTCAGCCTCCTGAGTAGCTAGGATTACAGGCACAAGCCACTGGTCCCTAGTTCTGCAATGTTATTTTTGATTGTGCGTGCGTGCGTACGTGCGTACGTGCGCGCGCGCGCGCGCGCGCGTGTGTGTGTGTGTGTGTGTGTGTGTAAGTTGTAATAAATACATCCTTCAGAATCCAAAGCAGGAAACTGTCCCATAGGTATGCCAAGTTAAGGAATATGGCCATGATTTTAACTGCCTATTAAACTATAAATCCCCAAATAGACTCCTGGAACAAGGCAGTAAAAGTTAGACATCAACATGCAAAAATGAAACCAGTTTTGTGAGGGTAGAGGGAAAATGTGTGTAATTTCTCTTTTTTAACTAAAAATATGTATTTAAAGTGGCAGTTTGACAATGAAAACTATAATTTTTCTTTTATATGTTCCAGTTAGAACTTGTGGGCACGTGGCATGTTCATTGATATCTATTAGTCTTTTACTTTTCCCTTGGAGTTGAAACGCAAAGTCTGGGGAAAATTAAGAGAAACTACCATAGTGATTAAAATATACTCTATTCTTACCTACTAAATGTGTGTTAATTTATTTAAGGAACCCCCCTTCCCCATGCCTTAAGATACAGTTTTGGTGTACAACTGGAATTTTTCTTCTTTTTCTAAAACACTTTAAATATCTTGAAAATGAGACAACTGGGAAATGGAAAATTTATGAGATGTGGTTTTGAGAATAAAAGCCAACCTTGTAATTGACTCACCCCTCCCCCAACCCTTTAAGATCTCTTACTGCAAAGAGATGGGGTTGTTTTCATATAGGAACCTTCCTTCTGTTGTAAAGTGAAGTTTCTGCTTATGATATTTGCAGATTTAATTTATTGTTATAATTTTTGTTATTACCATGTGATTTTTTACATGGATTTTTTTGTTTGTTTTGTTGTCAGTTGTGGGGCTTGAACTCTGGGCCTGGACTCTGTCCCTGAGTTCTTCAGCTCAAGGTGAGCACTCTACCACTTGAGCCACAGTGCCACTTCCTGTTTTCTGGTGATTAATTGGAGATGAGAGTCTCATGGATTTTCCTGCCCAGGCTGGCTTTGAACCATGATCCTCAGATCTCAGTCTCCTTAGTAGCTAGGATTACTGGGGTGAGCTATTGGTGCCCATCTTTTACCTGGATTTTTAAGACCAAGAAACGGTGTAGAAATGCTTTTTTGTCTTAAAAATTTTTTTTGGTGATAGTTTTTGTCTTTTGTTGTTGTTTAGTTTTTTGTTTGTTTTGCTTTTTTTGTGTTGGTACTAAACTCAGGGCCCTGTGCTTTTGCTTGGCTTTTTTATTTTGCTCAAGGCTGACACTTGACCACTTGAGCCACACTTCCACTTTTTTGCTGATTATTTGGAGATTAGCTCTCTAATTGTTTACTCAGGATGGCTTTGAACCTTGCTTCTCAGATCTCAGCCTTCTGAAGAGCTAGGATTACAAGTGTGAGCCACCAGCACCCAGCTTGATACTGTATATGAACTTGGAGCTTTGCTATATAGTTGCTTGACTTCTTGAGCTCTTTCTATCCTTGTTATTTTTGAAATAGAATATTGCTTTTCCTCCCAGGCTGGCCTGGATCACAATCCTCTTATAGATACTTTCTGACATTGTGTGATTTACATCACCATGCCCAGCTACTAGTGGAAATTGGATCCCACGTCTGAGCTGGCCTTAAACCTTGATCCTCCTTATCTCTGACTATTGTGTAAAGTAATTAAGATGATACCTGTGATCCACTGGCACGTGGCCAGGCTGTAATCTTTAAGGTAAGATTTAGTAATGTATATATAAAGAAAAGAGTTGCAATATACATAAATCAATAAATGTAATATGAGTCACATGACCATCTTAATAGATGTGAAAAAGCCTTTGACAAAATGCAACATCCACTTATGATAAAAGCTCTGGAGAAGCTAGGAGTAAAAGGAATATACCTCAACATAATCAAGGCTATCTATGACAGACAAACAGCCAACATCATACTAAATGGTGAAAAACTGAAACCATTTCCTCTAAAATCAGAAGCAAGACAAGGATGTCCACTCTTCTCTTCAGTATAATAATGAAATTCCTAGCCAGAGCAGTAAGATGAGAGAAAAAATAAAAGGGGATCTAAAGAAATAAAGCTATCCTTATTTGCAGATAACAATTTTTTTTTTAAGAGAAAGTAGTAAGCCTTTATTTTGTTTTGCAAATAAATCTGAGTTGACTGCTTCTGGGAAATTAGTCAAAAAGACTGAATCCCATATCCTCATCTGATTCCTTCGACTCTTGGCTTCAGCCTTGGCTGAAGCCGTGGCAGCAGCAGAAGCAGCAGTGGTGGCAGCAGCCACAGGAGCAGCAGCCACAAAGGCAGATGGATCAGCCAAGAAGGCCTTGACCTTTTCAGCAAGCGGGAAAGTGTAGTCAGTCTCCACAGACAAAGCCAGGACCTGCTTGTACCCATTGATGATAGAATGAGGCACGGGGTCTGCAGACAGACACTGGCTACGTTGCGCACACCCTCCAGGAAGCGAGAATGCAGAGCATCCTCAGTGATGTCAAGCACTTCGGGGTTGTAGATGCTGCCATTGTCAAACACCTGCTGGATGATCAGCCCAAAGGAGAAGGGAGAGATGTTCAGCATGTTCAGCAGTGTGGCTTCACTGGCTCCCACTTTGTCTCCGGTCTTTATCAGCTGCACATCACTCAGAATTTCAATGGTGCCCCTGGAGAGCTTGGTGGTGATGCCCAGAGCCTGGAAGAAGGAAGTCTTCTTGGGCCCCAGACCAGTGTTTTGAGCTGGCACAGTGACTTCACATGGGGCAGTGGCACCA